GGTGAAAGTGAAGTTTCTGAGCCGATGGACCACGTATATTGTTCTTTTTTTTTTTAATATAATCAGATCTGTGAGCAATATTACTTATTCTGGGAAAAAATGATAATGGCAGTCCCTTATAGGGAGCCAGACGTCTATGCGGGTACAGTTTTTACACCTGGCATTTATGCATACATTGACGTGTTTGCCTGAAAACTGTTTAAGACCGAGTTCTTTTTATGATATCGCTGAACCGTTACATTGTTTATTTTCCTGAGTATAGCAATGACTTAAATGGGCGACCGTTGGAGACGAATAGAGTTTGCATGGATAGATAAAAGATAGAAACTTTAATGGTATCACTATTAGGTATTGGATAACGGCGTCCGCTTCTAGAAGTAAGGGTTTTTATACGAGTTATATTAAAAACATGGATGGTAATAATTTAATTCTTTATTGAAATCATCTTAAAATTAAAGTTTCTGTCATTGTTGTATACAAACCATACAAGAAATCTATTTTAAAAAATGCATAGATATAGCCAAAAGACGTTGCATTGCAAACTTAGCTACCGGTATCAGTAACTCATGTAATAAAACAATGTGAACACAGAAGTGAATATACTTTCCAAGAAGTTTAGGCACCTATACGATAAAAACATTCACCTCAGGACTTGGATGTTTTACTTTACACAAATCTAATGCCTTTTTAATACAGATTAAAAAAAAAAATTATCGTAAATCTTAGTGTTTTGCTGCCGGTTCTCTCCATCAGCCTGTCCAGTTCCCCGGCCATAAGCCATTTTTTCCCTACTTCTAATTTCAAAAATCAGAAAAATCATGCGTTTTATTTGTGCGATTTTTTTTATTTAAAAAAAAAACACTTGACTGTGTTTTATATTTCATTTATAAGGGTACATGTTGACTTTCACCATTTTTATCGTACTTGACGTCCTCACGAATAACGCGATTGTCCCATGAGTCAGTATGGCGTAGAAATCAGAAATGGATGTTTGGCAGCATTGATTATATGCGGTTGCTTTCACCTCTGTCTAAAGGTAAAAAAAAGGCAATGTAATTTTGCTTCATTGTACACATTTCCAAAGGCCTTCACTTTGCTGTTTGTACGTGATAAAATAAAAAGAAATTAGATTAATGGTATGATTTTACATGTATGTGAAAAAAAAACAAAAAAAAAAAA